AAGGGCGCGCCCTGGCCGCAGAGCTGGCACAACTCACCGGTGACCTAACGCGACCCCCGCACACTGTCGCCAGTGACCTGTGAGGGGGCGGTCACGGCGCCGGCCGCTGGTCAGTGACCTGAGAGCGGACGGTCACGGATCGTTCACGGCCCATCGGCACCGGCACGGCCCTGCCCAGTGCCCACCGACACATAACGGTCGGTGGCCAGGGGTGAAATCCCAGACAGAAAGAAAAAGCGTCCAAAAAGGAACAGCGTGCAAGAAACGTTGCATGGAATTCTGCATGGAAAATGCTGTTCCTTCCTACTATAAATATGCTATGAAAAACCGAAAGGTAATGGCAAAAGAGCCACGCTACATGTTGTCTGGCGTCTTAGCTAGCAGGCTAAGGCGAATTACGAGCCGAACTGATTTCCGAGCGGCATCTTAAAATTACGAGCACCAAGCTATGAAATGTTAATTGAAGCAATTCATTTTTGCATGTTTGGTTTAGCTGATGTGTAGCACTTAGTGTCTCCATCCTTCAAATGTTCGGCAATAAACCTCAGAGGCAATTAAGCGACTGACAGCGACTGTTCGCTGTATTTCTTCACCTGCTCCAGTTTTGAGACATCCATTTACAACGAAGACGGAGCAGGACGCACGAAACTGCACGGCATAGTACGCCACGGCCAGCAGGGCACAACACGGCATAACACGGCACGGCACAACACGGGACGGGAGGGCAGGGCACAGCTCTGACCTGAGTGCTCGCACGCGCGAACCGTTACCGCCGGCCGCTCTCGCCGCGAACGTGATGTCCAGGTCCGGCCATTATTATTCGTTATGACTTGGCACATTGCACGTATTAATCAATCCATAGGAGTGTTGTGCAACAGAAAGGAGCGGCCGTCAGCGGCGCTGGCCGGCCGGCCGCTGCAACTGCAGCACGGACGGCGGAGAAAGAGAGCGGCCAGCGTCGAGACGCGGCGGCTGAGACGCGGTGGCTCGAACGGCGCACGCCCCGGCAGCGCGGCTCCGCAGAGGTGACGGCTCTCTGGGGAGCAGCAGCGCCGCACAGACGGTCCTTGTACTGCAGCGGGTTTCGGCAAGGTGGAGAATGGGACAGAACGGCCAGGCCGACTAGCACGGAGGAGCAGGGCGGTGGGAAATTTTGGACGAAGGAACGTCTCGTTGACACCGAACTCGCCAGTCGCCACAAGCCTGGTCGCCATGTCCAGATAGGACATGACAGCCCCAGGCCGAGAAAATCAGAGCGTGAGAAACTAGGAAGATGAACAGAACCTGGAAGAAAAAGAAAAGAACAATGATTACGATAACGTAGAATGGTGGGAGTAACATCTTACCAAATGATTTGGATTTAGGCTCAAGAACTATTTCTTCGGAGCCAGATTGAAATATTCAAGCCGATGTCATCAAGATAGTTGAGGGGATATTACCACAGCCGATATCGACCGGAAACCGCCCACGTAACTCCAGTTATGAGCGCTGGCGGGGCGCTGACGAGAGGAGAGTGAGTGAGAGGCGGCCGGCGGGCGCGCCGCGGGCAGGGCGGCCGCTCGGTGCCGCCCGGTTATCTGGCCGTCTGTCGGCGGCCGACCAGGTCGTGACCCGCCCGTCGGCCGGCCGCCGCTTATCTCGCTGCAACAGGCCGTAAACGGGCGGGCCGGCCCGTGCAGTACCGGCCGGCGTGGGAACTGTACCGGCGCCGCCGTGGGAACGGCGCCCAGCCTCCGCTGGCCGGACACGACCGGCCGCGGCGGGGCGCCGCTGACCGCAGCGGCAGCGCAGATCGGCCGCAGAGCGCACTTGGTCCGCGAATGGCACAGTGGGACCAGCGCAGGCCCGGCCGTAGCGCGCACTGTGCACCGATGGCTGGTCCGCAAATGGCAAAGACGGACCAGCGCAGCGGCGCAACGCACACGGTTCCAGCTCAGCGGGCTTTGGCCGCTGGTCCACACCGTTACAAATCGCAGACTACAAGACACAACTGCGAAAGGAATGAGACAAAACAAAGAGCCAGCGCTGCCACAAACTTCGCAATAATATGGAAACCTAGCAAGCAGCCTGACTGACATATCAACTTTCAAGCATATACTCATACATTTATCTGCCCGCATCAGTAACAAAGAGAACCGCTCGAAATTTTGCACCTTGCAATAACAAGATTTTCATTTTTCCTGTAGTAGCCGTATGGACTCAGACCGTTCTCGGTTCTCGCCTGCATAGCAGTCAACCGAGAAGGCCATCTCTCCTCTGAGCGAACAGAGAATGAAGCATTTAAATCAGATGAGGTGAAGAAAAAGAGCCGCTTAGCTGCGTGTGAGAAACGACCCAAGTGAAAGAAATAGGCTGAGAAGAATTCGTCTTTCACATAGAATGCCTGCAAAACAGACCATTCCGGCAGAAGGCGCAGCAAGTCGGACGCAGCAACCATCAAGATGGCAGCGAAGTGTTTCCGAGACCAACCCCGCACGATACGGTATAAAATGGCCATTACCCCGAATGGCCACCCGTATCATCCCGTAAAATTACAGAAGCCTTCAGCCAATTCAGCGCAAATGATTAAGCAAAACAAGGACACTTGGCTTACAAACAGAGAGTGACTTTGCAATAGCAGTTACATTCAGGCAGTCTGCAAAGCACAATTGGGAGAGCGAAGGGGAATGACGTAAGGTGTTGGAGAGAGATGACGTCAGGTGGGGAGCAGGATGACGGCAGGTGGGGGAAAAGACGACGTCAGGTGGTGGAGTCTTGCTGCAACCATCGCTTTTCGTCTCACACCTGCACAAAATCAGTACATGCTGTCTCGACGAGAAGTTTGCCAAAATATTTTAAAAAATAGCAGACATGTCATATCCCTTTTCACGAAGCTTCTCATGAATACCACCGTCTCCCTAACGAGAAAAAGCCGCCGTAACACCAGTAACTAACTCCGAGCCTCCGAACCGCGGCGCCATATGGAGGACGGAACAACCGCACACCATTCTCATTCTCGGCCGGCGTCAGAGCTGACCCGGCTAAAGCGGCGCCACACGGCTAAAACGGGCGCCACCCACCACCAGCTCTGTGCCGCTCCATTCTCAGTGCTCGGTGCTGCGCCGGGCGGCGAGCTGACCCGACCGGAGCGGCGCGCCGCCCTCAGACGTCGACGCAGCGCCGCATCCATCAGCGGGCGGCTTTGTGGCGTCGGCGGCGCCGTTGGCCGCGTCCACTGGCGGCCTGGCACGGTCAGCGGCCAACACAGCCGGGACCGCCGTCACCGACCCGGTCAGAGACCGACACAGCCGGGCCAGCGGCCGATACAGCCGGGACCGCCGTCACCGACCCGGTCAGAGACCGACACAGCCGGGCCAGCGGCCGATACAGCCGGGCCCGCGGTCGACACAGCCGAGCCAGCTGCCGACAGACCTGAGCCCGACTTCGGGAGACCCACCGACAAAGATGGAGATAGGAGCCAGCGACCGTTTGGGGGAGACCTGAAGGCAGCGCACGACGGGATGGATTGACAGGATAACACAGGTAGAAAATACGAGTGTGGTCAGAACCGCCAAGCATACCAGGTTGAAGACCTCTTTTGGACAGCACAAGCCCATAAAACTGAGGAAATACCGGAAAGTACAGCATATTTCTCTACAGCATAGGGGAGCGTACCAAGTTGGCTATCTATATTTGAATTAGGAACATAAAAGCTGGATCGACAAGACAAAGCCACAAACATAAGTTGCTGGACCTTAATTGATGCCCCATCGAAGAAACCGGCAACGGTATACATAAATCCGCGGACGGGTAAATGTCATGACCTATCACAGCGGTCAGTTTACTTGTATCAACATTTTTCAGAGTGCAAAGAATAGTACAGGGCCGCAAGTGTGCCACCCCCCTAAAGAAACCCACTGTGGTCGGTGCAGCAGCGACAAAATTATGGCTTAGCTGGCTTGAACCGTTCATTATCTAACAGCAAAAACTTCAGCCAAGCAGATCACGAAAATCTCCCAAACCCAGAAGTAATCTGAAATTTCCCACTGCGGACACTGCACTGCAGACGTCAGTGGTCGATTGGGCGTCAGTTAACGACCCAGCGGGGAACTCAACACGCGATAATCGTCTGTCAACACGGGCTGACAGGAGCGATAACCAGTCCGACCACCAATTATTGTGGCCGTTTCTCGGTACCGCAGATACTGTCCATGGCTCGTAGCACAGTGTTACAGGGCACCCGGTGGGAGGGGAGGGCGGTAACACAGTGTTTCTGGTCATAAGGAGAGGGAGGGGCGCGCAAATCGACCCTCACTAACAAACGACACCAGCCTGTCGCAAAGGTCGGCCACAGTCGCTGAAACGACACCATCAATAATGTGTCCAGCAAACATGCACGGGGGACGCATTTGAAGGTCCCCAGGAAGTTTCTAGAAATAAGTAACAAGCAAACATACAATGGGGGGCCAGGCAGCACGGCAGGGACAGGCCGATTCTGAGAGTGACGGGCCAGTGGACAGACAGTAACAGCGGCAGGTCTTGCAGGGACTATGAACAACGACAATGGGAGGACCTTGGAATGACAGGTATTCTGCATGTAGGATATGGCATCAAAAGGTTGTCTCAAGGCATCTAGCAGAGACCTCTACATGTCTATGCATCTAGGATTCTGTAAATAATAAGGTCGATAGCAGATGGGAATAATATAACAAGACGGACAATGGCCAGACACATCAAATATCACACGAGAACCTGGGGAGGACGAATCGACACAAGGCGTCAGACTCCTCAGGGCGCAGAATATGACAAGACCCATCAGACCACCAGCAGTCAGCACCATATGCCGGCGAGACGGTACCAAGAGGTGCAACCTTCGCCTGGCGGCGGCAGGGGATAGGAGTTGAAGAGATGACATGAAACTGTGACGCTGGGTGATAGTTCCGACAGTCTGACGGTCATGAAACGGAGGTTTGAGACAGACTAACAACAGAGCTGCAGCAGACGATCAAGGCGTGTCCTACCTGGGCCGTTTGGGCTGGACGCCGGTCATGGGGTCGATGTGTGCGCCGGCGGGCGGCTGCAGGCCGGCCGCGGCCGCCGCCGCCGCCGCGCTGTACTCGCTGGGCAGCTGCACGCCGGCCGGCATGTACGGCGTCGGCGGCTGGTAGTGGCCCGCGTACATGGCGCCGGTGTACATCCCGGGCGCGGCAGCCGCTCACACGCACACGCACACGGCCGGGCTCCGCGGCACGCTCACAGCCGCTCGGCGGGCGGCCGCCGCCCAGACGATCCGGGACCACCCCGCAGCACTGTGTTCGAGGCCGGTGACCTGGCCGCACCCCAGCTGACCCGCACGGTCGCCGCCGGGCCGTTCTGTGACCGGCCGCGCCGAGTCGCCGAGCCGAGGTCCGAGTGCCGGCCGGCGCGCGCTCCTCCCGTGCAGGCCGGTCACCACCTGGCGCCGCCCGCCGAGACGCAACAGGCCCCGCCCGGGCCGCGCATGCGCGCCGGCCCCGGCCCGTTTGATCGATGGCGGTCCGGGTCGGGCCTCGGCCCGGCCGGGCGCCGCCGCTCATTGCATGGCAGCGGGGGAGCGGGCCCGGCCCGCGGCAGACACGGACGTGGTGCCCCACTCAACACGAGACACACGGGCTCGGAGATATGGGCCGTCTCCTCCCCCACCGCCCGCTCCGACTGTAGCCGACCGGCAGACCCGACCCGACGATAGACCATGGGTTGAACGGCAACTAAGCGCCAGATCGCTTCTTTTGTTCAGGCGGCAACACTCACCAAGAAAATCGAGGAGCAGTCTCAGCGTTTCACATATCACATCCCAATTTCGCTATCTTCACTGCTAGAGACCAATTCGGAAGGCGGTAGCGCCAACCAAGGAGACGACTGAGGGATTCCAGCCTCTTCCATGACCCTAAACTCCAAGCAGAGCTGGTGCTCAAAACGGACCCGCTTAGTTATAATTACATTAAGACGCTTTCGAGCGTAAAAATGCAGATCCGCAGGACCAGAGCAGCCAGGAATCGGAAGCCCTATCTTCACATCAGGATGGACGCCCAGTTCAGGCAGACTCCGAGCTTGGACCTTTACGAGGCTCCCCGAGTGCCATCAGACTTCGGCTCTGCACAACGACCGCCGAAAATAGAGTCAAATGCAGAGTACGGACGCCAAGAGCACATCTGGAACAAAAGTTTTGTTGATTTAGTCTCACAGTCACCGAAAGGCTAAAAAGGCATAAAAATATTGAAAACGTGACTGTAAACTTAACAAAAAGCATGTAAATACAAGGAAATATTTCGAGCGCGGCAAAGTTTACAGTCACCTTCATCACGAAGCTGAATGTGGGTAGAACAAAGACGTTCCTTTCCCCTTCTCTCCAAGGCTGACCCTGCTCCGGTTCGGCGGTCACCTCGGTACGGCTGGAATCGGATGAGAGTGGCTACTTCGGACCGGCCGCGCGGCATGAACATTGAACAGCGCAGGGAGCCACGGGGGGACCCGCCGCATCACCGCATATCATGATGGCACGGGCCACGGTAGCCACAGGGCTACTGGTGGCTGGCCGGATCGAATATCAGGGCGGAAGGCAATATACAAAATGAAAACGTTAACACATACACAGGAGCAGCGAGAATGTCAAAGGTCTCGACAATTACACATGCCACAGCTCGCCAAATGCTATTTCACCTCACTCCACAAGTGATTACCGTTTGTGTTGATCTATGCCATCGTTAATTGGGCACCAAAACAAAGCGCTGCCTGGCTCGGAGTTCCAACAGCCATCGGTACGTGCATATGTGCAGGTGGCAATTGGACGCCGGATTGACTTCCCGGGCCGACCGACAAAGGGAGTTCCGGGAACGTTCAGCCAGCCTCAGCGGAACGGGCGGGCCTCCACCCAGCCGCCGCCGCCGCCGCCGCTGCTCGACCTAATCCTTTAAGCTCAGATGAGTTCTACACAAAGAGCCCCTTCCAATCACAAAGAAACGGACCAACACAAAATCCTCAATCCGATCTTGCACAGTGCAATCAAACGCGAGTTCTTAGAGGGCTGTGCTTCATATGGTCACGAAAGTGAATTCCTGGCCGGCCATAAAAAATGAGCCCTGCTCGCAGGCCAGCTCAGCTACCGGTGCAATAAGAACCGACACGGGTAAGTTCCTTAATTCATACCATGGGAGAGCTGGTCTATGTGTCTACGCAAATTTAGAGTGCCGCTTCACTTTCGTGATAGCAATAAGTTCAGTCGCTCGTAAGTCATCTGATGCGTTTCATAAATTAACATCTGCATAACGCATAAATGAGCTTAGATCTCACCGCCCCACCCCTTCCCACAAGCACATGCAGCTTAACTGTGTACCGCCTGCGTCTGACCAAAGTATGACTCCCGTCTTCAAATGTCAGCTCTACAGCTGCGCCAGGGTTTGCGCAACTGGCACAACCCAAAACTGCAGCTGCGCTCACTACCAGTCGAGATGGAAATCATGACAGGTATAGCAGCGCTACAAAGGGAGCCCGTGAGTGGATCTTCATTTCAACCACAATCATCGACTAATAGTCAAATTACGCGTGACTACGGGATATAAGATTTTGCAGGCATTCATATGAAAAGTATTCTTCTCCCTTGATCATTTCTCGTTGGACAAAAGATCTATTAAAAAATGAAACAATTGGCCATTGAGATCGATAAAGATAACTCTTGTCTAATCGATAAATTGCTGATTAGCAAAATAACAGCTTATTTCCATACGAAATTTCTGATAGCTTATTTCCATACGAAATTTCTGATAAAGACATGGCCCGACTGAAACGTCGCGACAATACACCACCATCACACCAAGTTTTATTCACTTTGCTCGATGTCTTAATGTAAAAAAGGTAAATTTTCAATATGATTGTTTGAATTGGACAAATTAATTCGTATATGAAGTAAGATAAAAACACCAAAACCACCCAACGTTTCGTGTTATTCACTTTTTCAAGGGTGATATGACACATTTTACCTACAGAGTCAAGTACGTAAAATGTGTCATATCACCCTTGAAAAAGTGAATAACACGAAACGTTGGGTGGTTTTGGTGTTTTTATCTTACTTCATATACGAATTAAATTTTCAATAACTGGGGATCCATCGAACTCGTCGAGAATATCTGGCGATTCCGTCTGGTACGGCCGCATAATCATCGAGAACCACCTTAGCCCGTCGAAAGCGGGACAGCGCACGCCGCACACAAAAGGCGAGAAGGAGGGGGGGGGGGGGCGTCGACGAGGAGGCGGGGTAGAAGCGGCACGACTCCGTGCCGTTTCGGGTCCGCTCGACGGCCGTCGTTCCCGTGTGCCGACACAGCTCGTCAGCGTCGTGAGTGCGGCGCGCCGGTGCATGGCCCGTCGTCCCAGGTCACTGGCACTGTCCCGAGCGAGACCTCCGTCCACGTCAGACGTGTGAAGACGCGCGGATCGCCTCAGATCAGCAGCAGACGCTCTCGGCAGCTGCGGTCGCCGAGCCGCGGACGCTCAGAGGATTGGTCCCGTTCGTCGACACGCCACTCTGCTGATGCCGTCGGTGACGGCGGATCTCTTTAATCCACCATTTCCCGGACGTGGGCGGCGCCGATTCGACGAACTACGGTCGTCAGTGCTGCGGTCGATGAGTTTTCATCAACTCCGGCCTCAACTTTGGCCCAACGAAGGAAGCGGCTTGAACTAAATGTAAAGAAATAAAGGAAATAAACTTGAAGGATAAAGATCAGTAGACAAAACAGCGGACCATATTTTTTGCTCAAACTTCGAAATACCGTTAAAAAATGAAAACGTTTATAACAGAATCTAGATCTTAACGGTAAACAACCATGCCATGCGTCTAGGCGAGCCATGTTAACAGCTGAATCATAAATAACCACCTGGATCAGGTGTGCTGCTCAATCCCTTCCCCTTTTTCCTTGGAGGCGGGGCTACAGCTCAGCGACTCCCCGCCCAGCAGCAGCAGCACCTCGCCCAACAACGGAACCCGCCCGGCACTGGCTGCCAACACGGTGCCGGTCCCCAAACACCTTGGCCCGGCCCGGCTCAATGTTGGCGCCTGGGCTCGGCTCGGCTCCCAGCACGGCACGGTGGCTCCCGGCAAAGTCCCCTAGCATGGTGCTGGCTCCCGGCCGGGCACGGCAGCGAGTGCCGACACGGCGGCGGCTCACGGCTCGGCACGGCTCCTGCCGGCACGGCGGCGGCTCACGGCTCGGCAGTCGGCACGGCTCCCGTCCCGGCACGGCGCGGCTCGGCGCCGGTGCGTGGCGTGCGGCGGCCGCTGCCATCTTGTTTGGCCGGCCGGCCGGTTATTTGCCGCCGGCTAATGATAGTGGGCCGCTCCGGCTGTCTGTTACCGGCCACCGGTAATAATGGGTAATGATACGATGAGCGGCAACTGATTGCACGCCGGCCGACGCCGAAATCGGGAAAAAACGGCCGCAATCACATGCAAAACGTCACAAGCACCAAAATCGTCGCCAACCACACGGCGTCAGCGACCTTATTGCAGCCGCGGAAGCAGGCCGCATTTTGATATCAAACCGTGAAATTATACGTTATCAATACGCCAAAGCGTTCAATCGGAAACGGGTGACGCCGAAAGTGTCTTTTTGTGGCCGTGTACGTGACACGATTCTGTCCGTAATTAAACATGGGGCCGGCCGGCGGCGGCAGCGGAGGCAGGGAGGGGAGTGGGCTGTAGCTAGGGGCGAGTGCAGCGGGACAGCCCATACCCAGAGGTGTTGCGCGCGGCGCCGCCGGCAGTGGTACAGGCGGTGACGCAGGTGACGATGGCAGTTGTAGTGGTGATGGTGATGGAACAATGGTGTCGGCGCGTTACAAGAGTGCTGGATCTGGGGGCCGTAAGAGTATCCGCAGAGATAACGACACGTGCAGAGCGGACAGTGCCAGTGACGGTGAGAGATGAGTGAATGGAGGCGCTACACTACAGAGCACCTAACCCCTCCGGCCACCGACTGGCAGAGTGAAACCGACCATCGAGTATCGTGCACGGAGGTTGGAGCGATCAGCCAATACGCCGGCCCCGGGACCCGGCACTGGCGATACGGTACGTGGGTACGTCACCAGAGGTTAATCTGTGTCACTTTTTACGCTGCTCGATTAGAGTTCGCCTAGATTGCAAGCGGAGCCACTCCCGTAGCGGGCGGTGCGGCCAACCCTGGCCCAGATACGGCGAGCAGACAGGTTTGGCCGGATCGCGGCACCGGAGGTGATCACATATAGATTTTCAGCGTTGCTGCTCAACAAAAAAGGAAAAATAAACCGAATGATGACAGATTTATCGCGATATAATCTCGTTTAAACAGCTTTGCTAGCTGACCAATAGCCTCAAAAATTGTTAAAAGTATAAAAGAAAATATACATCCAGAAATATAAGCCTTCTGTTGGTCAAA